CGGTGGTGTGACAGAGGGAGAGACACAGGTGTCTCTTTAGACTGCCTTCATTTCTACCTATCCAGGCCAGGAGGCAGAGGCTAGAACACCCGAAGTTGTAAAGACCGTAATACCCATGGTCCCATTAAGAGACCTTGTGTCACACCCTCTCCACTTCGAGCATCCTGTGACATATTGCCCCTCACAGGCACCTACAGCGTGACTTCCTACAGGCAGGACCACTCCTTTCCCTTGTTTCCCCCAGTCCCGTCTCTGTTCTCAGAACCCAGTGAAACTAAAAACAGGTCTAAGATTCTCTTGATAAAGAAAAATAAAGTATTTTTCCTGTTAGTCTTTTGGTCTTCCCCTGCTTCCGCAAAGGACCCCAGGCTTACCTCAGACCATAGTCCCCAGTCCCTGGTGTTCAGAGGCAAGGCTGAGCCGGCCACCTAGGTCGCACCTCAGTGTTGAACTTGTAAGCCACTGACCTAAGCCTTGGAGAGTTAGCTCCTCCCCATTCCCAGGCCAGGCCCCAGGCTAGGTTTAGCCACTGCCTATCAAGTTACTTGTCAATCAGCTCTTAAGGCAAATGTTCTGGCTACAACTGTCTTAGCACTGGAAAGTCTTCCTGCAGGTGGCAGATTTGCTGTCCTAGTCTCTCCACAAGAGACCAGGCTGTCCTTCATATTCACCACTTGGCCTGAGGAGAGTTCGGGGTGACTCCCTAGGATTTACTGGTGGCTAAGAAGCCTTTTAATTTTAGAGCTAGTTGTGGGGAGGAAAACTGCAGGATTTTATATTTTCCAGCTAGACGGTAAAACTTTATGATGAGTGTAACTGGGCTGGAACTGGGGACACAGCTATGTCTGGAAAGTAAATTCTTTAGCTCCTTTTTCCCTCACGCCGGATGATTGCTTCCCAACATCTGATTAAAGAGCCTCAGCAGACACAGTGGTGACTCCTGCCTGTAATTCCAGCACTCTAGAAGCTGAGGCTGGACAGTTGTGAATTTGTTAGCCTGGGCTACAAAGTCTCAAAAGAGAAAACGGGGGAGGGGGCGGTAAGTGGTAGTACATGCCTGTAACATCAGCATTTGGGAGGCAGAGGCAGGTTGATCTCTGTTCATTCAAGGCCATCCTGGTCTATATAGTTAATTCTAGGCTAGCCAGGGCAACATAGTAAGACCCTGTTTCAAAATATAAAATAAGAAAACAAGGAAGAAACAGGCAGTGTTCTCAAAGCTTTCTGGCCTGGCTCTGTCCGATAGACACATGACAGTCCCATCCATACATCCTGTGGTGACCAATATGAGCTTCTTTTTAAATGCTGGTTCTCATGAGTTCCCTTGTTTTGACTATGCCCTTCTGTTCCATAACCATTCAGTTCTAACAGAGTCAGGAATGGAAGTGCTGACTCCTAGGAACCCCGATAGAATAGGCTCAGCTACTTTTCCCACAAAGCCTGAACCTAGTGGCTCACACCCAGCCTATACTCCAGCACTCAGGAGGCTGAGGCAGGAGGATTGTGAGTTCCAGGCAAGCCTAGACTACATAGGAAACCCTGTTTTACCTCCTCTCCCTGCCAAAATCAGAAACTGATGGGACGAGAGCCTGGAAAGACCAGGAAAGGAGCTTCACTAAACAGGCAAGGTGACCACACTGGGAGCAGCAGTTACATAAGACCTAACCACAGCTGCCTACAGCAGTTCTGGTCACAGAAGAGAAACAAAGGGGAGCTGGGAGCCTTGGAGTTCCCGCCGGAGGACTCCGGGTTGTCTTGGTCTGGACGTCCTCTGGTTGTTCATTATCTTGGGCTCTCTTCTCAGGATTAACCATGCAGAGCTATGTTGATGCCAACAATCAAGCCTGTTGTCCCTGAGGTCCAGAGTCACTTAAGTAAGAAAGACTAAGGAGAACTCAAAAGAAAGGAAAAGAAACAAGATGGGGTCATAAACATAGTGGAGGGCTGGTGAGATGAGTCAGCAGGTGCACTTGCTTCCAGATCTAACAACCTGAGTTCAAACCTGAGAATCCACATGGAGAAAGAGAGAGTTGGCTCCCACAGGTTGTCCTCCAACCTGTACCCATGCACAATGGCACGTGCAGGTTCTTCCTATACCTAACACACACACACACACAAAATAAACAAATATAAAGAAAAGTGGGCGCTGGAGAGATGGCTCAGCAGTTAGTAATAACACTGGCTACTATTCCAGAGGACCACGGTTCAATTCCCAACATCCACATGGCAACTCTTAACTGCCTGTGACTCCAGTTCCAGGGGACCCAATGCCCTTACACAGACACACATGCAGGCAAAACATCGATGCTCATTGAATTAAATGTAATTTTTTTAAAGAAAAAAAGCAAAATTCAAAATGTTGTTAGAGGAGGTCACAGGAGGAGCAGGACTTCCGCTATTTAAACTGATTTGTGTAGAGATTCCTAGAGAGAAAACTCTAGAAGATTTAGAGGAGTATAAGGGAGAAAAGGGATTAGAAGGTGGGGGAAGGGTTTAGAATTGTATCCTAAGAGCAGAGGGAGAGTACTGGAAGGTCTGAAGCAGTGGAGTACCACTGAGTATCTGGGATGTAGCCTGGGGAGTGTAATAGAGATTAAAAGACAAGTGAATAGTGAACAGATCGAAGAAGGGTTTGGAATTCTGGTGAATAACCACCCATTCAATGGTAGGAGGCACCAAAGGAGACAGTCTGGGCACCTTCATGGATAGCATCCCAGCATGTGTCTGAGATAGACAGGCACCAGCCACGGCAAGTTTTCAGTAGTGTGCCTTGTTGGTTCGTAACGGGAGAGCTAGAGGTGTCACTTGCTAAGAAGAGAAAAATGGAAGGAAAAGTTAACTGAACAGGGGTGGGTTTTGGGGGGGTCAAGAGTTTGGAGAGGAAATACGGTGGGGCCACCTGGTTGATGTTGGTGCACACTCTAAGAACAGAGCCTAGGGCCTCACACTAGCTAGGCATGCACTCTACCCCTGAGCTACATCCTCAGCCCAAATTTGTGGTTGTTTTCACTTTGATAAGCTGAGAGATGGCAAATGGAAACCTCAAGTTGGCAGGGAATGTGTGTGCTGTGCTGGGTCTGAGCCTGAAGCCACCTGGGCCTGTGGTGGAGTCAGGAGGTGAGCCAAAAGGCTACAGAAAGTGGGAAAGTCAGGAGCATGTGGGCCAGGGAGACTCCGGCTGGAAGCTGGAACCAAGTGTTTGTGAAGACAGTTGCCTTAGCAGCCGGCAGTGTCCTCTGGGGCTCTGCGCTATGACGCCAATGCAGCCTGCTACTGGAAGAGGAGAGGCTTGTACTGTCTGGCAGGGAGCCGACCTTTCCCCCGTAGACTTTTATCCTAAACATCTCCCCATTTGGTCATCGTTCTTCCCATGACTATACGTATTGCTCGGACACTCAGCACTTGCATGTAACTGTCTTCCTCTGTCTGGGATAATTCCCCTGCCTTCCCAGCCCTTCCCTGGCCTGTCGCCTTTCCTCTGCTTTACTGGCAGTGCAGCTGTCTCACAAGTGAGGCATGTGTGCCCTCTGTTGGTATGTCCTGAAACTGCATCAAATCAAGCTCCCTCTCTCTTGCCTGAAAACTCTCAGGACCTGTGCAGTATGACAGTCAGCCCTCCAGATCCCTGGGTTCTGTTCTGGGGTTGAGGTGGGACAGCAGGAGGGACAATGAGGTTAGTATGCTGGCCACAGGGGAATGTTAGGAGAGCTGCCACAGGGCAGGACACCTTGAAGGTTATAGGAAGGCCAGCTCGTGGCCCTGCAGCATCTGGTTCTCTGCAGATGGCTTCGGGCAGAGTCTGGAGTCATGTGCTCCATGTTAGCGTGGTTCTAGCTGCTTCAGAAGAGTGAGGTCGGGCAGCCAGTGAGACCGTACCACACACAAGATGACTCTGTGGCTCAGCCTTCAGCATCTAAGAAGACTGGGCTTTGAGACAGAGAAGTCGAGTATGGTACCAAGATGGTCATGAAACTACGAGAACAGGTCATGGTCACCTGGGATGCAGAAAGCTGCAGGAACCCAGGCTGGAGATAACTGGAGACATGTTAGCTATGGGTTCCTCATGGACGCCACACTGGGGAGCTCAGTGGGGATGCATCTTGTGGATTTGAACTTAAGTGCAATAGAACTGAAGCTAGAGGTTTGGGAATTATCATCACCAGATGGTATTTAAATTTAGCATGAGGCATTATAGTTGTAAAAGATAGGAACTCAGGAGCTGATCCTGTCTCACTGCACAGGAGTCTGGGAAAGAGGCCAGGTGGTGGTGGTACATGCCTTTAATCCCAGCGCTCCAGAGACAGAGGCAGGTGAATCTCTGTGAATTCAAGGCCAGCCTGTTCTACAAGAGCAAGTTCCAGAACAGGCTCCAAAGCTACCGAGAAACCCTGTCTTGAAAAAAAAAAATGTGTGGGAAAGAGGAAGGCATGGTCAGCAAGGTAAAGAGTGTAATAACTGGAGCTGGGCCTAGTGCACTAGCCACTACTGGGGGGCTAAGGAAGGACCGACCCGCAGACAGCCTGTGCAGCTTAGGAAGACCCTGCCTGTTCTGTTCTATTGAAGGTTTTAAAAGGAGTGCCTGGGGGACACAGGTGAGTGATCACGTCCTCACCAGGAGGCTCTGGACTCCGTCCCAGTTCCACAAAAGAACAAAGAATGGTGTGGGGAGGCGGCAATCCCAGGGAGTCAGATGAAGGAATAGTTCATGAGAGGGACTCAAATCCTCCAGCCCAACATGAAGGTGCACACTGAAATCCCAGCCCTGGGTAGGTAGGTGCAGCAGGAAGACTAAGAATTCACCTCCCTGTTGGGACATGGAGGAGAAGAAAGGAAGAACCATGGGGAAAGAGGAAGGGAAAGGGGAGTGAGGGAAAGAGAAAATGAATCGCCTCTTCTGTCCAGCGCTGTATCTAAGTTGAATGAGGATTGGAATGCAACCATAGTTTCTCCAACATTCTTGCAGTTTACAGTAAAATTCCTTGTCATCCCTCTTCCCCCAGGTTGTGGCAGACACCAATATAAGTGCCATAGCGACTCAACTTGAAATCATGTCTGCAGGCTCTCCGACTGCTGACCGCCATCCAGAAGACACAGAGTGAGTATTCTAGTGCAGAGTGGGCCGGGCTCCTGAGCGTCAGCTTCTGACGTGCATGTGATCTCCTGACCTAGACAAGGTCTGACAAGGTGCAGGGCTCTCCGTTTCACACAAGGCTATGCTCCACCCCAGGATCCTTCAGAGACCATGGTAGGGCCTGCGCTCACACCGCTTCTCTTTGCCTTGACAGAAGCCTATGCCTTCTGTCCTAAGAAACTGCAGGCTTATAGCCCAGGTCTGCTCTGCTCTAAGATGCAAAGAGCCACATTTCCTTAACTCTCTAAGCTAAAACCTTGTTCTGATGTGAAATATTGTTGTCCCCTTTGCTGGCATGTGTCGTGACAGCCGGTCATTGCAAGGTTATTCATTAAAGCAGTGTTTCCATAGTTGAAGTGCTCTAAGAATAACAACAGAAGCCCGGTGAGATTGCTCTTCAGGTAAAGGCCTTGCCACCAAGTCTGACCATGGAGTTCAGTCCCTGGGTCCCACACAGCAGGGGCTGTCCTCCCCTGAACTCCACTGCCTATGTAGGTTCCTGCACACACACTCCAAGACACGATTTGTGGAAACTCCAAGGAGGTGGTTCCCAGCAGATTTGGGCGTCTGGTCTTAGCATGCTCCCTAGGGTTATCCGACCAGACAGGCAGAGAGCAGCTGCACTTGGAGCACTGCTGCCTGAAGCTGTTCCTCAGCACCATCAGCACCTGGTCCAGTGTGTGCTCGGTGAATGCTGTTGGTTGACAGTTCCTTTAAGGATCTCATGATCACAGCCACCCACAAGGAGCTTTATTTAGGGGATCATAGTTTATCAACCTAATTGACACTTTGGGGTGTGTCTCTTAAAGAACGAATATTAATTTGGTTATACTTTTTCCTCATAATACATGCCATCAAATCTGACAAAATACAAAAATAGCATTTTCAAGCTACCACAGCTCCTTAAAACAAAGTCAGGGTGGAGAGATGAGGCTGTGGCTCAGTAGGTAGAGTGCTTAGCCGGCATTACAATGTCCTGGGTTCAGTTCTCAGTAGCACACGAAACTGAACGTGGTAACCCTGTGAGTTCAAGGCCAGCTTGGTCTACATAATGAGTACCAGGACAGCCAGAGCTACATAAGAGAGAGAGGGAGAGAAGGAGAGAAAGAGAGAGAGCATGGCTTTAAGAAAGAAAGACATGCCAGGTGGTGGCGGCACACACCTTTAATCTCAGCAGTTGGGATGCAGAGGCAGGCAGGTCTCTGTGAGTTCAAGGACAATCTGGTCTACAAAAGCTAGTTCCAGGACAGGCTCCAAAGCTACAGAGAAACCCTCTCGAAAAACCAAAAATAAAAAATGAAGAGAGAGAGAGCAAAGGGAGGAAGAAATATTAAAGACAGGGCTTGAGAATGTAGCTCAGAGGTTAAAAGCACATATTATTTTTCAAGAGGACCTGAGTTCAGTTCCCAAGAGCTATGTCAGGCAGTTTGCAGCCACCTGTAACTCCAACTCTACAGAATCTACACCCTCTTCTGGACTCCACAGGTATCTGCATTCACATGGACACACACATACACACACATACACACACACACACACACACACACACCACATATACATAGTTATAAACAATACAAATAAAAAGAAGAAATATTAAGGTTTTATGAGATAAATTGACGTGCTCCAGATTGCGAATGGGCCCACGTGTGCAGGTCCCTGAGACTATCTCTAACACAATAACCTTGAGCACCTCGATTTGTTAGGCAAAGTTTCAGGGAAGGTTTAATCAGAAGAACATAATCAGAGCTCACATACCCCTTCACGGTTTTCTGACCTGTGCGTGGCTAAGTTTGGAACAGGTGACAGCCTCTCAGCCATGCATGCTGCCACAAAGCAAGGCATGTTGCTAGCACGGAGTGTGTACCTACTTGAGCCAGGTAGGAATGGTGGTATACATCCCAGCACCTGAGAAGCAGAAGCAGCAGGATAACTGAGTTCAAGGTCAGCCAGGGCTATGTGGCACAGCTCTGTCTCAAACGGAAAAGAAATCAGATGATAGGGATGGGGACCCCAGAATTTTTTTTGGGTTTTACCCTTTAAATAACAATGTGAGAAGAAGCGCTGAGATGTAGCTCAGTTGGTACGGCACTTGCCTAGCATGCATAAAGCTTTGGTTTCATCCCCAGTACCATGTAAACCAAGCCTGGTGTTCCAAGCCTCTAATCCCAGCCATTGGGAGGTGGAAACAAAAGGATCTGAAATTCAAGGTCACCCTTGGCTATGTAGCCAGCTCAAGGCCAGCACTGGCTATGCGAGACCCTGTATCAAAAGAAAACTAGTATTTAGGGGTAAGAAGCTGGCCTCCTGGGGTAAGTTGAGATTAGACGGCTTGAGCACACATAGGTGATCTAAACTTTCGTAATGCTGCCTGAGAGAGAGAAGACTTCCACACTGACGGCACCCTCCGTCACACATTTGGAACAGATTGTCCAAACCCATCTTGCTCCACACTGGTGATCCACTTCTCTCCTGGATTTTAGTTCCTGTTTATACAGCCACGAGCGTGAGTTTGTAGAGAAGACATGGATAACTAAGACAGAAGGGACAGGTAGCCGGGGAGAGGAAAAGATGTGCTAATAATAGTGTGGGGCAGGATCCAAGGACAGAAGGACTGGGCCAGTTCTCCTGAGGCGCAGAACACCCTCCTCGAGATGGGCTGGGAGAGGCTCTTCCCATGCTAGGAGTAGTGCCAGGGGCATTTGAACAAGAAAGGGGCATCGGTTCCCAAGAGCTGTTAGCCTGCCACTACTGGTTAGGGGCTCACCTGGGGACTGCAGGCTTCCATCATGCTGGCATGACCTGTGCATTGCTGACTGTGCGGTCCACACAACACCTTCTTTAAACAGAATAGGCCAGATTTTAAATCAGGGTAGTTCTCAATTTTTAACTAAAATAAGGTTAAAAGCTTATCTGGGTGTGATCTCACTCCTGTGATTCCAGCACTCAGGAGGCTGAGGAAGGAATATTGATTACTGTGAGTTCAAGGCTAGTCTGGGCTATAGAATGAGTTCCAGATTAACCTGAACTACAGTTCAAAGCACACTTAAAAACGGGGGAAGGGGATTTGGTGAGATGATTCAATGGGTAAAGGCACTGGCTGTCAATACTAGCACCCTGAGTTCAATACCCAGAACCCACCTGGTAGAATACAGAAGTGAGCCCTAAAAGTTGTCCTCTGACTTTGGCGTGCACATGTACACAAGCACATTAAAGTATATATATTATATATAACACATTAAAAATTAGGCCAAACAGCTGGCTGGTGTTAGCACACGGCTTTAATACCAGCACTTGGGAGGCAGAGGCAGATAGATCTCTGTGAGTTCAAGGACAGCCTGGTCTACAGAATGAGTTCCAGGACAATTAGAATGGTTACACAGAGAAACCCTGCCTTCCACCCCGGCCCCCCCCCCCCGCAAAAAAAAAAAAAAAAGAATTGAGCCAAGCCTTGTTGTGCATGCCTAGAATTTGAGCTGCTCAAGAGGCTGAGGCAGGAGCATCATGATCTCAAGGCCAGTCTGAGAGGCATGTTGACCTTTCTTAACTTAGCATAACCCTGTCTCAAAAATAAAATAAAAATGGGCTAGGAATGTAGCCCAGTGGTACATACAGCTCCTAGGACCAACTGGCATAAGGCCATTGGTATTATCCCCAGCACCACACACACACACACACACACACACACACACACACACACACACACCCCACACACAGAAAAGCCTAGGCTCCACAACAAGATCCCTTCTGAATAAAACAAAGCCAGTGACTTAATGATAACTGGCGCAGAGATGGATCTAATAGCTGATGCCCAGAATCTCGGAACTTAGAGGGCAAAGGCAAGAGGCTGAGATGTTCAAGGCCAACCCAGGCCACGTAAAAAAAGGAGGAGAAAGAGCCAAGCATAGGGAAAGGTGTGTCACCATTGTAGTGACTGTTTTAATTAGAGAGCCCTAAACCACAAGCACATTGGTGATGAACTGATGTGGCACGAAAAATGTACAGTGTTTCCAGATTGCTTCCTAAGAGTCTGATTGGAAAAGATGGCATTCGTAGCTCGCAGTGTGGAAGTCCCTCTCCAATCTGTGTGCTTCCATTAAAATGAACTCCTTCTCAGTGTCTGCCCTTGAATTAAACAGCATGCGTTGTGCTTTCAGAACACCTGCACCTAAGATTATTACTTTGGAGAAAGGCTCTGCAGGATTGGGGCTTAGTATTGTAGGGGGTTATGGAAGTCCACACGGAGACCTGCCAATTTATGTCAAGACTATATTTCCAAAGGTATTTTTCTCCTTTTACTGTTCTCTTAAAATCAAAGCTAGTGAGACTTTTAAGTGCTTTGTACTGGTTTGCTGTGGGTTGTGCTTGTGGGGGTGGTGGTATTTCATTTAGGTCTCATAGGAAAGCCCTACCAGGGAAGGAAGTGTCACAACAATGGGATCCCAAGAAGTAGTTTTCTCTGTACTTCAGTGAGGAAGCTGGCACTCACAGATTTTAGGAGCATTTTCAGCAGCACCTGCACTGGAGGGTGACTTTGAATGTGTTATTCTAGGCTGAAAGGGATTCAAAATCAGGGTCTTGGTGTTGGTGGTGCACACCTTTGATCACAACACCCACATTCAGGAGGCAGAGACAAGTGGATCTCTGTGAATTCAATGCCAACCTGGTCTACAGATCAAGTTCCAGGACAGACAGGGAGGGAGTGGGGAAAGAATATCATGGGCCATGGAGATGAATTAGTGGGTAAAGGACCTGCTCTGTAAGCAGGAAGACCTGAGCTGAGAAGGTAGCACTGCAGGCCACAGACAGGGCAGCCGAATTGGTGAGCTCCGGGTGTGAGAGACACTAGCTCCAAAAATAAAAGTGGAGATAATTAAAGATAATGATAGAGGAAGATGGCCAGCATTAGCCTCTAGCATCCACAAAAGACATGCAAAGGCAAGCACATACAACTACATGCACACACACACACACACACACACACACACACACACACACACGTCAGACAGCAGAGGGCCGAGGTAGAAGCCCTGTAATCCTCAGGTCACTTGGAGATTGTCAGCTTATGTTTCTCTGCCAGGTATTTGATAAACCGGTCTAATACTGACTCATAGTGATTCGGAAATTAACTCTTTTCAAACGAGGTATAGGCACAGGCCTGTCATCCCAGCTCTCTGGAGGCTGGTACAGAAGCATCACTGTACTCTCAAGGTAGCCTGGGCTATGCTTTAGAACCTGTCATAAATAAAGACAACAAAACAGCAAACGACAACAGCCCCACGCTACTCCAGCATGCCCTAGGTGATCAGTGTCCACCACTCCTGCGGCTTCTACATGACTTCTAGAGTAATCATCTTTAATTTCGCTGTGAGTTGTAGTTTAGCATTTAATTTTATTATAAATTTTGAAGACCGTGAAAAGTACTTAGGAGAGACATCCCAACTTTTTCTTCCACCTACTTATTTATGAATTTAGCTTTTGGTTACTCATGCTGTAACCCAGGCTGGCCTTGAGCTGCCTGGCTGAGCTCTTGATCCTCCTGGTCCTACCTGCTGAGTGTGGGCTTTCAGGCACATGCCGCCACACCTGGCTTCTTACCATTTTTTTATTCATTTTTAAAACTACAATCATTTTATTCATTAGTTGATCCAGTGACTTTCTGTTGAATTATAGCCCTAAAGAAATATAGGTTCTTGATGAAAATATATTGTATGAAATTCTCATAGAATTAAAAAATATTTTAAATATTTATTTATTTATTTTGGTTTTTTTGTTTTGTTTTGTTTTTTGTTTTTTGAGACAGTGTTTCTCTGTGTAACAGCCCTGGCAGTACTGGAACTTATTCTGTAGACCAGGCTGGCCTCAAACTCACAGAGATCCACCTGTCACTGCCTTCCGAGTGCTGGGATTAAAGATGTTTGCCACCACTGCCCAGCAGAAAAGGTTCTTATAGAAGAAAAAGTAGACCCTGTATCTTCCTAGAAAATTTTGATAATTAACACAAGCTTGCTGTTACTTGCCCAGCTCTTGGCTACTATCTGGGCTCTTGAGTCAATGGATATTTGCTTTTGGAAGACTCTAGACAGCCACAGATTTACCCACCTGTCCTTCTTGGTGGAGTGTGGTTAAGGCACACTAGGCAGAAATGGGACTCACTTATCTAATGAACTACAGCTAATAAGAGGAGGCAGCTCCCAGTATAACAGTGCTACCCAGCCTGAGAGTCCCTGAGGTAGATACACACATTCTGTCCTAAGAGTCCCTGAGGTAGATACACACACTCTGTCCTAAGAGTCCCTGAGGTAGATACACACGTCTGTCCTCCAAAGACACGTGTGACACTACAAGTAGTTGTGCCCATTAGTCTCAAGGAGCTGTTACAGTTGGTTGGCTTCTGGCAGCATCCACTCTGTAGTGTAAGGCTGCAGGGGTCCCACCACCCTGCCTCCGCCTCCATGATGCACCCAACATCACTGACTCATGTCATGATGCCCATGCTATGCTAACTGCGGTCCAGAAAGCTAGAGAACAGCCAGCTAGCCCACTGCACCAGTCTGTACTTCCCAGAGGCAGTGTGGGTGAGGGTGTCATCAGAACACAGAGCTGAAAGTGACCCTGATATGTATTACTGGTGCATTTAAAAGCAACCATCTGCAGGCCTGTTGGCACAGGCTGTGATTCCAGCATTTGGAAGACTGAGGCCTGGGAGAGCGGCTTCAAGTTTGAAGCTAGTTTTGGCTGCAGAGTAAGACACTGTCTAAAAATAAATAAATCCAAAAAATAAAAACCAAGAAATAAAATAATGAAAGAAACAATCATGGACTCGGAGTGGGATGTCACCAGTGGGAACAGTGAGTGGGCTGAAGTGCTGTGGGAAGCCCTCACGAATGGCCCTCGGAAAGGCGTCCTGCAGAAGCACCCAAGTCAGAGGAACAGCGTGCACATCATGTGTGACTGTTGACTGTGCTTGTACAATGCTTTCTTTTGGTTTTAATTGGGGGAGTTGTTTCCCTGTGAGATAGGTCTTATAGCTCAGGCTACCCCAACCTGGATTGTAGGCATGAGCCACCACACCTAGCTTGGTTTTTGGTTTTGTTTGTTTATGGTATATTTTTTAAGGAATGTGTTATTTTGTTTTGTTTTGCTTTGCTTTTTGAGACAGGGTTGCTGTGTGGCCCTGACTGTTCTAGAATTAGCTCTGTAGATCCCCCTGCCTCTCTGCCTCTCAAGTGCTGGGATTAAAAGCACACACCACTACTGATTGACAGACGGAAGGTGAGGGGTTTTTTTTGCTTTTTTTTTTCTTCTTTCTTTCTTTCTTTTTTTTTTTTTAAGGAAAACCTACCTAAAAATTAAAGTTTCTGAATCTAAGAGAAGAAAGAAAAGCATTTTCTAAGGCCTGGCTCATAGCCCATTTAGTGTAGTCAGTCTTGGTAGAAGAATATTCCTGGGGCTATCGATGACTCTGTTGCTAAGGGTGCTTGCCTGCAAGCTTGGTGGCTTGTTTGATCCTAGAACACATATGGTATAAGAAAGGGCTGACTCCAAAAGTTGTCCTCTGGCCTCCACACGTGCACTGTGACAGATGCACACACACTAAATGTGCAAATATTCTGAGGGCATATTCCAGTGCAAATAATAACACCAACCATCATTTCTGGTCCTGTAGCACTGGAGATCATTGGACCTTTTTCTCTTTCTCACTTTGCTCATTAAATTTGGCCAGAATATCCAAATTATAAAATAAATTAAGAAACAGTAAGCCTAAAGCTGACAGAGATCCCCCCACCCCCCAAGAAAAGCTTTTCTCAGATTACCCTGACATTGTTTCTCCCACACAGAGACACGGAACTCTAATGTACCCCGTGCTGCCTTCTCATAGGACACTCCCCTCAGACTCTGTCTCTTCTCAGGCTTCTGAAACCCTGAAACGTGGGGCATAGGTTTATAGATCAAAACTTCTTTTTAATAATTCTCTTCCTTGACTGATAGATTATTAATGTAGCCCGAAGTGACTCTTCACACTCCAGAAGTGTGACATGTCTACATTATAGGTGCTGTAAGCATGTAGAAATTGAGAGTTAGTCTGACTCACAGGCGCTTAGGGTGCTGCCAGTCAAGTGCATGTTTGGTTGAAAACTTCAACTTCATGAGCTGGAAAGATGGCTCAAGAGTTAAGAGTGTGTGCTGATCTTGAGGAGTTCGGCTCCCAGCACCCATGTCCCCATCAGCCGCTCATGACTGCCTGGAGCTGCAGCTTCAGGAGAATCTGATGACTCTGGCCTCTGGCCTCCCTCAGACACCTGCACTCATGTGCATATACCTGCACACACAACACAGTTTTTAAAATAAGTCTTAAAAAGAAACTTTAAAGTCAAAGCCACCTGGGGTCTTAGTCCTCTCAGCCAAAATAAACAGGCCTCAGAAGGTAGAGACAGGTGACTCTGGGGCCAGCCTGGGCTACATAGTAAGTTCTAGACTGCAGAGTTACATGGTGGTACCCTGTTGAGAGAGAAAGAGAGACAGAGAGAGAGAGAGAGAGAGAGAGAGAGAGAGAGAGAGAGAGAGAGAGAACAGGAAGGAAGGATAGAAAGAAAAAATGAAGAGAGGGAAGCAAGAAAGAGAGAAAGGAAGGGCAGGAGAGCGCGGGAGGAAGGTAAAGATGATGACACAAGTCAACACAAAAAATTTCTTGGCAGTGTTTAGAAGCCCTGGCAGTCTGCGACATGAGTTTGAACGTCATGAGAGTAGACTGAATACTAGACTGAACATGCCTTATTTGAAGTCTTCAGAACAGCACTGTTTTGGATTTAGAATGTTTTATTCCAATTATAGAATATTTGTGGCCGGGCAGTGGTGAGACATGGCTTTAATCCTAGCACTCGGGAGGCAGAGACAGGTGGATCTCTGTGAATTCAAGCCCAGCCTGGTCTACAAGAGCTAGTTCAGGAAAGCTATGACTGTTACACAGAGAAGGCCTGTCTTAAGCCCCCACAAAGAGTATTTGCATATATGGAAGGAAACTTACTAGAGCTTCATATATACTCTATATTTTATATATAACTGAAAGTAAGTTCATGCAGTATATCTAGTAATTTTGTCGTGTTTCTTGTTCATAGGGAGCAGCTGCAGAGGACGGCCGATTAAAACGCGGTGACCAGCTCTTAGCCGTCAATGGGGAGACCCTGGAAGGTGTTACTCATGAGCAAGCTGTCGCCATTCTAAAGCAGCAGAGGGGGGCTGTGGCCTTGACTGTGCTGCCCTGAGCGCAGGTCCTGATCCTGACTTACAGACTTCTGTGGCTTCCGATTGGGATGGAAAGTTGCCTCAGCTAAAACCCAGCGTCGTCACTGGCTCTGATTCTGTTTGCAGAAACAGGAGCTGCAGCCTCTGCTTCCTACCACATCCTACATTCCCGCTGAGGCTTAACTGCAGCTCCTGCGGTTTCCTCTAATGAGTGGAAACAAAGGTTTTGCTTGTCATCTTAACTCGTGATTTACTTATGCTAATTTGTCTCTTCAAATAAGGCAGAAAACATTAGCAGTGTAATTAACTTCCTCACAATGAACTATTCACGCTCTGCCGCTGGGAATTACTGCAGTCTCTTCCTGTGACTCATAGTCAACTCCCTGTCTCTAGCTAGATCTGGATATGTTAGCATTGATCCTGAGGAGCCGTCCACAGATTCTGTAATCCACCCAGCATTCGGAAAGGCTTTGTTTCTGAGTTTCACAAGTGCACACTGCTTATCAAGTGTGCCTTGATCTCCGCAGAAGCCACACTAGCTCACGTCGCTGGAAAGCTTATTCAGAGCGATGAGCATCTGAGCAGGCGGTGCCGCCCTCCCTCTCCGCTGTAGACCACCTAGGCATCCTCGACCTTGTTCGGAGGGAGTGACACGTTCCGTTCGCCTTTTCCCTTACCTCCATACCAGTAGCACATAGCTCACCTTGCCCCAGCTGTGTGCTGCACTTGAACAGAAAGTAACTGAGCAAATGACCTGGAGATCCGAGTGCTCAGCTTGAGTTTCCCAGTCTCCTCCTCCTATTGGCTGAAGCTCTGCAGGTCAGAAAGCAACTGTAGGGAAAGCGCAGCTAGTAGGACCGGGGTGGGGTGCGCCTCACTGAGTTCTGCAGAATCTTACATTGAAAACGAAGGAGAGTACCTGGCAGGTGAGTCCAAGGTCAGCAATGGCCGTAGGTTCAGCATTATTTAGCCATAACTCAGTGCTGCACATTGTTCAGTAATCAACAGGATGTAATGGGCCCTAATGTAAAATATTATTTAATTAGTGAGGATTTTAACTGAGATTCCCTTTGAGTAGATGTAATCACAAAAGTGTTAATTCTTACTGTAATATTTTTGTGGCTATTTCAAAGTGCAGAGTGCCTAAGTTTTATGTTGACAATGCTTTTCCATGACTGGTAGTAATTTTTTTGAGATTCCATAGGGTTTTTAGAATTTCTGATGTATCCAAGATACATGATTTTGTTAGGATCCCATCTCCCACCAGCCTCAGTGTTCAGTGTGAATGAAGCTTGTAAGAACACCTCAAGCGGCAGAGACCAAATGAAGACCGGATGAAATGCACCTTAAAAGATAAAGATAGCTGTATTAATGCTTTCAAAGTGTGATTCTGCTTAATTTTGATGGAATGACCCTAAATACACATTTTGAAATAATGCATTGTTGTTGTGTCTTTCTTTACATGTCATCCTTTTAGGGCATGTCACTAAGTCTATTAATGAAGTGATTGTGATACTTTATGCATCAAGTCCTGCAGGGGCCCTGTCTCTTCCCACAGGGCTAGTGAGTAGTTGCTGTACCAAAGGCTTGCTGCCGTCAGAACTTACTGTACACCGAGAAGATAGTGATTGCAAAAGCAGTCTTCTTAAACTCACATGTATTATTATTTATTTTTTTTGGATGTTTAAGTCTGCTACTAATATCATTAACTGGAGTTCGCCAAAGAAGTGATATGAACTAGAAAACAATAACAAAAGTAGAGAATGCTTTTATGTAGAGATATTTCTAAAGGTTCTAAACCAAGGCAGCTGGCTAAGGAGCAGGCAGGGACATGGTTTACGGTGTACACATTAATCTCTGCATCTAACTTTTTGTTCTTTAGCTCAGCCTTTCACAGTGCCCTGTTGCAGTCTGCAGTCTGCAGTCTGGGCTGAGGCTGTAGCTCAGTAGGTAGAACGCCCTCTTCTGACTTCAGTGGGTACTGCAAACATAGGGTGCACAGACCCACATGCAGGCAAGACACCTTAAAAATAAACTATAAAATAAACTATATTAAAAATAAGAAAATAAAAATTACGATCTTTTAAAGAAGATTTGTTTATGTGTGAGTACCTGTGTGAGTTTTACATGCCGCACAGACCCTTAGATCTCCTTCCTATACCTGAGCCACAGTTGTGAGCCAGCACGAGAGTGCTCTACAGGAGCAGCAAGTGCACTTATGCCTTACCCTTCTCTCTGGCCTCCAACATTTCAATCTTGTATTTTTTTAAGATGTTGTTTATCTTTTTAGTTATGAGGTGGTGTTCAGAGGAGCACGGAGGCATCAGATTCCTTAGGTACCGAGCCATGTCTCCAGCCCCTTTGATTCTTTGGTTTCGGTTTGTAATTTTTGTTTTGTCTTTGTTTGTTTGTTTTGAGACAGGGCTCTCACTATGTAGCCCCAGCTGGCCTAGAATGCACTATATAGACTAGGGTGGCCTCAAACTCAAAGAAATCCACCTGCCTCCCTGGGATTAAAGGCATACGCCACCATGTCATGTCAGTCTAAATTCTTTTTCATAAAATGAAAATAACGCTTTTTAAAAAGAGAGAGCTGGCTTTGCTTACAGGAATGCTCCCTGACCTTGCTGCATCTGTGGAATGCATGGCTTTATCAATAAGTCTTCCCTGTGCACCTCTGAAACGTCCTGTTCAAAGTCCTAGCGAGCCTTCTACGGCAGCAACTTCAAAACCCGCCAACCTAGGAGAAAGCGCCATTTTAAAGAGAGTGGAGGGACTCTTGGGGAAATCCACACCACAAATCTTAGACTTTCCGCCCCTGAGCCTTCTTTTTCTTAACCCTCTACAGAAAATCTGTGTTTCAAATGCTTTTCAATAAACATCAATTCTGCTTCCTATTGGCTCCTCTTCCTGAGTCCTTTTCTGTATGAAATCGAGGGTAGGGTTTTACCTGAGTCAGAGTACCCGAAACATTAAGGGAATTCAGTGCTGAAACCGAGTGCTCCAGGCGGGGAAGGCCACTGTGTTTTAAGCACCTTTTAGGCAAGAATGAAATACTGGCAAGGGAGCCTTATTGTCCTAAACTTGCTGTCTCCTATTTCTCACGGCTGCGGGGCTTTGGAGTACAGAAGCCTGCGATGCCTCAGATAACCGCATGGTGGCGCAAGAGACACCGCGAGTATGAGGCTTTTGATCAGCGCTCCTGGCAGGTAGGTGGGCAAGGAGTCTGGACTGATATGATAGATCTGCCTGCAGTGTGTGGGTTCATGACTTTCTGAAACCCAGTTCTCAGAATGTCAGCGCCACATCCAACCGTGTTCTCAAAAGACAACACAGGAAGGAATGTATCCCTCACACATTTTAGTCCCCAAGGCCAGGTTCCACTGCCTTCCAGTTCTCCCCGTCCCATTGCAGCTGAATCAGTTGCCTTGACAACTGTGCAGTAATGCATGAATGTGAGTATTTGGGGGCTTGGGGCCCCACCCCAACCCCTCTCCCTACTTCCAGGATGGGCACTGTTGGGGAGCCTTGTTGATAGAGCGTGTGTTAGTGTATGTATGTATGTATGTGTGTAGCAATTCAAAATGCTGTTGAGAATGAATTTAATAATTGCAAATTGAATAGTTAGTAAAACTGATCTTTGCTGAGGATGCAACTCAACTGGTATCGTCACAGGCACAAAGCCCTGGGTTCCTCTGCTGGCATAAACTAGGGACGGCTGCAAATGCTTGTCGTCTGGGCATTCAGGTCACAGGAAGGTCAGGAGTTCAAAGTCATCCTACGTTACACAGCAAGTTTGGGCTACATGAAACCCTGTTTGTTTATACATAAAACCCACAGATGAGAAGGTTTTTCATGTATCTACAATATGCATTAAGGGCTCAGGAGCTAGAAACTGGATGAGACATGTTTCCAGGACAGACATGGTGGTTCACACCATAGCCCAGCACTTAGGAGACGGAGGCAAGAGAATTTCTGCAAGCTGAGGCCAACTTGTTCTACGCAGCAAGTTCCAAGCCAGTCAGAACTCCACAGTGAGACCTTGTCTCACACGGTCATAACACTTATACATAAAGAAGGAATCCATCTTCAAAAAGTGAAATTTTCTAATAAACGGATAGAAGTGGAAAATATTATACTGAGTGTTCTTAACCACCGGGCCACCTCTCCAGCCCCTGGACTTTCGTTTTTGAATCTTGATAGAAATGGCACACAGGCAGGAGGCCCCTACAGCTTCGGTTATCCGCTCTGCCAGATCTTACAGCCCTTCCCTGTCTCGGTCCAGTGTCCCTGCTTTATAGCCCTCTATCTGCTCTGCTCAAAACTTTTGCCCCTGTGCCTTGAGCTCCTCCTCCTGGCAAGACAAGAACAGATGAACAGCCACCCGTAAATAGCATCATATAATGAGATCGGTGTTAAATTTCCCTTTGCCCTCAAATGTTGTGTAGGGTCAGGTGTCTCAGTCAGGATTCAAACAAGTTCAGCAAAGTGAGGTCAGCTTATATAACAGATGTCTTTGCTTTTGTTGTTGTTGCTGTTTTGTTTTGTTTCGCTTTGCAACAGGGTTTCGTGTAGCCAGACTGGCCTCAAACCTGCGAAGCAGCTGAGGTTGGACCAGAATGTTCAATACTCTTACCTCTCCTTTCCAAGTACTGAGGTTCTAGGCAATTGCCACTATGCCCAACCTGTTTGAAATCCTTTTAAGGAAGCATGATTGAATTTCCAGCTATAATTTCTTCCCTGCCCTCTATTGCTTCATTTAAAAAGTATTTATTATTAGTGTGCATGTATGATGTGTCCGTGTGGGTACATCAATGTCACCGCACATGTGTGGATGTCAGAGCACAACTCTGTGGCACCTTTTGATTCTCTTCTTCCTTTATGTGGTTCCAGGAATGAGACTCAGGCTGCCGGGACTACAAGGCAAGCCCTTTCTCAGCGGAGACATCTTGCTCTCTTTCACTTTGATGTGACTTTGTTTGTTTAATTTGGTTTTCAGAGACAATGGTGTCTCTTGTAGCCCAGGCTAGCTATATATACCTATATAGCTGAGAATGACCTTGCCCTCCTCCCCTTGTTCAGAGAATACAGGTGCTTGCCAACTTAGCTTTTGTTGTTTACTGTTGAAGAAATTGGGCCACTTTGTGTAGCTCAGCGGTATAGCCTTGCCTAGCATATTTAAAGCCCAAAATTCCTCCAGCATTGCAAGAGAGAGACACAGAGAAAGAAGGGACTGTAGAAATGGCTCAGCAGATGAAGGTGCCTGCCACCAACCCTGATGGCCTGTGTACCGGTTCTGGGACCTATTGGTTGGCAGGAGAGAAAGGACTGAGGAAAGTTACAGTTGTCCTCTGACAATGTGGCACACTCACAGACCCCTACACAAATAGACGAAATATTAATAAAATAGCATTAAAATAAGAAAATTAATGAAAATAGTTTTGCATGACTAATTCTACATTTTGAATTGTTGCCTGCATCTGTACAGTACACTTAATACTGCACAGTACATTCAATACTGCTCTGAATCATATTTTTCCTAAACCATACATGGAACCCAACCCTGATCGTGTGTGTGTGTGTGTGTGTGTGTGTTGCTGAAGACATGATCCAGAACATTGGCACATGCCAGGCACGTGCTCTACCACTGAGCTCTGTCTTTAGATTTCTTCTCCATCTTTGTTTGTTTGTTTGGGTTTGGTTTTTTTGTTTTGTTTTGTTTCAAGACAGGGTTCTCTGTGTAGCCTTGGCTGTTGTGGAACTCGCTTTGTAGGCCAGGCTGGCCTCGAACTCTGGCCTCAAGATTCGCCTACCTCTGCCTGGAACTAAATCCTTTGCTGGGATTAAAGCCCTTCACCACCACTGCTGGCTCATTTTATTTTTTATTTAAGGGTGTTTTATTAATTGTGATTATTCACATGGACATCCCATCCTATTCCTCCATCCCCCCTCATTTTTTCTAATAATTGGTCCCTAGTTGGCAGAAGCTTGGGGGACACTCAGAGGTGTGGCCTTGTTGGAGGAGGTGTGCCACTGGGGATGGGTGGGCTTTGAGGTTTCACAAGACTGTCCTGGGTCTTTTTTTCTCTCTCTCTCCCTCATGGTTATGGAGTTCCCATCTCCCCTCCAGATGGAAGTTCCCAGCTACTGTTCACAGCCACAGTGGCTGCCTGCTGCCATGCTTGCTACCATGATGGTCATAGACTCCAATCTTCGGAAACTGTGAGCCCCTTCTTAAGTTGTCTTGGTTATGGTGTCTCATCACAACAGAAAAGTAACCAGGACAACGATGTCAAAGAGGAAGCAAATCCTTTTAAAAGTTCACTTCCATGAACTTAGTAAGATTTTACTATTCACTATTCGTGAGCTAACTGTGTGACCTAATGTGGCCCACCTTCCAACCCGAAACCCCAAAGGCTCCAACTCAGGACAAAAG